TCTCTCTCTCTCTCTCTCTCTCTCTCTCTCTCTCTCTCTCTCTCTCTCTGTTATTGCTCGACTCCCCACTCATATTTTCTCTTCGTGTCTTTCCTTCCGATGTAAAGAGTTTTATGTCTACCATCTTTTATTTCGCTAAATTTAGAGAGACAGCGGATCTTTGCTCCTCGCGCCGGACGCGTAGGGACGCTCCTCAGCGGGAGCAAGAATGCGCAGGTCGATTCGAGTCGGTTCGAACATGATACAGAAGGGGAACACTTTTGATTTGTGATAAGACGAATCTATTAGGAATTAGCGTTTCGCAAACTCCTCGGCGAGTCGTGCCGGCCGCGAGAAACGCCGAATCGATAGTATCGCGTATCTCACGGCTGATGGGCTGAGAATAATGCTCGATTTGCGTCGTATTGCGAGGTACTTGACCCGTCGTGAAGGAAAGAAGAAGGGAGGAAAAGAAAGAAAGGAGCAAGAAAAATTGGAGCAACAGAGGCGATTAAGATATCGCGCCGATCCACGATTAATGATCCGACCGCGGGAGAAGGAGGCGGGCCAGATAGGCGTTGTAAACAACGTTCGCCCCCTCGAATCAATATCCGATTCCGTTCGTGCTTCTCTATGATCTACATTATTATCGGGCGAACGTTGTGCCGTAATTGGACGTTATCTGGAACATTACGAGCTCTCGCGGCTTCCCGGCTTTGTACAAATCACGAAAGCGCTCGCTCGGATTACGTGTCGACGAGAGGGAGGCACTATCGGCTGCGCGAATTCGCGACGAATGTCAGAAGCGCATCCGCGACACGCACTGCGGTTCGTATCGAAGCCTCTTTAGTCTGAAGGCGTAGCGGAACGTCTCTCGCCGCGGAGCTTTTGACTTTAACGACGTAAGAGGCGAGAGAATCCAGAATTCTTGCGCGCTATTCTCGAATAATAATAAGAAGGTATTTGTACGAAAGAGAACACCCGATTGAGAGAAAGGCCTGCGAGAACCGCGCGCTGGATGTTAGTGCGAATAATAATGTTTGACATTTTTGAATAATAATAACTGGGATTTTGACCTTCCACGTCAAAATCCCAGTTATTATTATTCAATCAATTCCCCCCTCTAGAAGTGCGTATTTCTTTTTGATTGCTGTTTAAATTATTAATTATTATTATTGTCCTTTCATTCAAACTTTAGAGTATCTCAGAGTATCAAAAGTAAGTGTTAAGTAGGATATCAAGGATAAAAATCTCGATTCGGACCGATTATTATCTCTTTCTTTCTCTCTAGATCCGACGACGTATCCTCGACAAATTCGCGACAAACACACACGGGTGCATATCGCGGCTCGGTTTCTTCCAACGTAAGCAGCCCGTCTCGATCTGAATTCCCACGATTTTCCAGCGCGCTCGCAGACGTTACTCGACTCTCTCACGCGGAGTGCAACGCTTGCAGTTCGTCCGCGACGCACGTCGAGTGTATACGCGCGAAACGAGACTGCAAAGCTCTTAGGGTCGAACCGAGAAACTGTAGAGAGAAAGAGAGAGAGAGAGAGAGAGAGAGAGAGAGGGAGAGAGGGAGAAAGAGAGACATACAGAGAAACGTGGATACACACAGAGCGAGAGTGCATCGGGTGCACAAACACACAAGTACGCAACACATACACGCATAAAGAACCTCTACACGTACCGGTGCGTGTACCAAAGGGGGGGGACAAGCACACTTGCTCTGTGTATCGTCTGGTGGAGGGGTATGCTGGCTGGACCCCAGCCTCCTCCTCCTCCTCCGTGCCACAGTGTGTAGCCTATGAGTCGAGTAACACAAAACCAGTCGTCTCTCTACTGGCTAACCAGCTGGCCGTTGGCTTCTAATTCTCTATCTCTGTTTCTCTCTCTCTTTCTCGTTTTCTCTCTCTCTCTCTCTCTCCTTTTCTCTCTCTGTCTATCTCTCTCGCCTTCTCGACTGTTTTCGCCGTGGGACGTTTCACGGATAGGCGCGTGTGCAAGTGTGTATGTATGTGAGTGTGTGTTCGCGCATACGATAATCGACCTTCTGACCTGTGCGACCTGTCCCGCGAAATCTGTCGCGTAAGTGAAAAGATCAGTGCCGTGCGCGCGTCAACGAGCCAGAAACGGCCGGACGAAGAGAATCGCGGCGAATTCGCGCGTAGCTTCGGCAGACAGGAGAGAAGAGAGAGAGGAGAGGAGGAGTCACGTGTGTAACAGCGCGAATGCGACCGCGAGTCCGCGTACCGCGTCGAGCCCGATTCGATTGGCTCGTGAAAGTGTCGGAAAATCGAGCGCACGCGAAATGCTCGCGTTGCGATCGATGTGAACGCGAGAACGGCCGCTTATCAGTCGGGATCGCTTATCAGCCAGAGTCGCGTGGAGAACGCGCGGGAGTCGCGATCCGGCCGGTTGCTGCGCGGATTATAGTTTCCCCGCTGCGTGAATCCGATCGAGGATTTACGCTCGTTTTTTCGCGGACGAATAAATAAATAAACAGCGTAGCTCCGCGAATCGTTCTGCGCGAGCACGCGCTCGTTATCGGCGGTGATAACGAGCGCCCGTCGCTGTCAACGATCGGGAGCGCGATAATAATCGCCTCGCCCTGCGCGGATAATGCCGGCGTCGTTGGCGCGAGCCGCCGAGAAATCCGTCCGGTTCTTCGCGGCGCAAAATAATCGCGGGCGATTTTTTTGGTCGGGAAACCCGAGCGTTTCGCGCCGCAACTTTCACTGCTGATTAACGATTATCGCGGCGCGCTCTCCGGGTCCGGGCTAGAACGAAACGCCGATTCGATATCCGCAATAATCGCCGAGCGTGCCACGCCGGCGCAACCTCTGATTAAGCGATCTCTCTCAACGGGCGAACGTGCGCGCGTTCTACTAAAAATGTTCATCCACATCATCCGATGTGTCTCCTGATCAGCAAATAATCCGACAAACGGTGTGCTGAATAAACATACGGCCACACTGTGGCGTTCGCCGCGAGGTCAACTTGTCGTCGCACTCGCGCCGTTGGACGACCACGGAATCCACGGATCCTCACCGCATCCCCGAGTGGCAATTCGAGCCCGCGCGAACGTCAGAAGCGCGTCTGGAGAATACACGTCGACAGCGAATTGCGCGGCTGAGACACTCGGAGGAGAGTAGAGCGACTAAGCGCGACGATTCGTGTCAAGGTGGCGAGCACGATCGGCCGATTGTCAAACAGGCCGCTGCGAGAAGCACCTGCGATTAATCCCATCCGCCGTTTCGCGCCTTTCTCGTCGACCGCGCGACGCCGGCACGTCCCGCTCGCGGAGGAAGTCTCACGAAGGACGTCGTGGAACACGCGGAGACGCCCCGAGTGGTGACCTCTCCTGCTGTCGATCCGTCAGCTCGTGCGATCGTCCTGTGGCGTCGTCGTCGGCGTGGCCGGCTATAGGCGTCACGATGAGAGCTTTCGCCAACTGAGACGCGATCCTTCGCTCTCACGCGACTGATCCAACCTCTTGGATCCAGGATGGATCGCAGCTTCAAGAACAACGCGGACTTCAAGATGAATCAGCAGAGCTTCAAGCTGAGCGACTTCGGGATCGACGCGAAGCCGGAGTCGCGGGTCGCGAGTAATTTGAGCAGCAATCAGCTGTCTCGACGATCGGCCGTTGGTCAAGTCGGTCATCATCATCATCGGTACGTTCACACGGAAAACGTTCCGCAGCAGCTTCCGACGATGAGCCGCCTGGCGACGGGCGGCTCGAACCTGCTGCTGCTGCAGGTCGCGTGCAGTCGTCCTCACGGCGGCGGACCGTGCGGTTCATCGTTGATGACGTGCGACCGTGGTAACCGGCACAGTCCGAATCAGCTCGGACAGATGCAGAACGCGCCGCTGGCGGACCGATTTCGGGTGTCTTCCAGCAGTCCGAGCAGTTCCGCGTCCGGGAGCAGTCCGATCGTTCAGCTCGGTTCGGTACCGTCGCCTAATTGCTGGAAACAGTACGGCGGACAGGAGAGCGGGGTAAATATCCGACAAGTGTCGTCACAGCGGCCGTGTGTGTGTGTGTGTGTGTGTGTGTGTGTGTGTGTGTATGCGTGTGTGTCGAGGTATACTCTTTAAATTAGCTGAATTGCACGCTACGGAATCTCTCGCTGACAACGTGACAGTCCACTCGCGCGAGAAGTGGCAGCAAACAAATGCGAGAGCAAATATTATTTGGAATCACAAGAGCGCACTGTGAGAGAAAAAAAATGATTAATCTCATCAAAAACTATTGTTATCTACGATGATAACTGTATCCTCTTTTTGTTCTAACAAGCGAATAGTAGTAGCAATCTACACGTGTGAGGTTTTATTGTCACTAACACGATAGCAACATTTGCTACATAAAGTAAGTTCTCCTGATTGCAATTCTTTCACCGTGTGATTATAGTGACAAATGCCAAACACTTTTCCCCCGGTGTGCGGACATTTCGCTCACTTAGGGCCGATTTTTCACGATAACGGCTTGAAGTTAGATTTTTAGCTTTAAACTCTGTTCTCCAACACATCGAACTATCATAAGAACATAATCTAGATGGAGCGTTCTACGAGGGAAAGGTCTAATTAACGGCAAGGGGAAAGTTATAATACTTCGGGTATTCCCGTCGTGGCTTCTGCGGATATATTCCGTTTTATACCAGCTGGAATTGTGTGACGTTTGCAGCTGACTGCAACTTTGGAAGGGCTTGTTATATAAATTTATTGTCAGTCGTTAATGTGTCGTAAGATGTACACACTAACCAACATAATAGCCTTAACACTTACTAGGTCTAGTTGCGCAGGAATTTCTCGATTACGTGCAATATTTCTGCACATTCGAGCATCAAAACTGTTCTAATATTCTAAGGAGCAACAACTTTAGAATACTCAACAGTCAGAGTGCACGGATATGTAAAATCACTGTACGTGGTCGAGAAATTCTTTTGTCATTAGGCTTAGTAAATGTTGAGATTATTATGCCGCATTGTGTACATGAAGTAAGTACGAGTGAGCCAAATGACCCAAAGTATCTTAACTCACTCGCTTATTGCCAATTAGTAATTCGGTCGCCTCTCCGTCAATGTTTGCTCTCTATACATACAGACAGGCTGTATTTTCTTGCCATTCATGCAATGAATGCTTAATTAATGTTATTTTTTAATTTGTTTTCCCTGTTCAATGATCAGGGAGAAGAACTCTAGAATTATCTGATATTTAATTATCTTAATATGTGAAATATGTATACTACTGTGTCCAAAAAGTAAGACCAATTTTCAAGTTAAATTATGCGGGTCATATCGAATGTCAGAAATATTTTTTTTCTAAATTGGTAGCACTGTGACAGACATCTGTGTCAAATTTCACATCATAAACGTCAAGACTAGGAAGCTATTCGCAAAAAGAGGTCGGAATTGTGGAAAGACAACTCTTGGCTTTTGCACCACGATAATGCGCCATCTTACACTGTATTGGTTCTTCGAGACCATTTCGCTAAAAATTCGACCCATATCGTTCCACAACCACCATATTCACCTGATTTAGCACCATGCGACTTCTGGCTATTCCCTAAACTCAAAAGACCGCTCCGGGGACACCGTTTTGACTCGATTGAAGAGATACAAACTGAATCGAAGGAAGCTTTGAAGGCCATTCCGGAAATCGACTTTAACAACTGTTTCGAGGGTTGGAAAAAACGTTGGCATAAGTGTATTGTGTCTGAGGGGGATTACTTCGAAGGCGACGAAATAGATTTGAAATAATAAATAAAGATTAAAAAAAAAAATTTTTTTAATTGGTCTTACTTTTTGGACATAGTAGTATCTCTCTAGTATATCAGACTCCAGTGAGGATAAGTATTGAAGCCCGTCATTGCCCGCCGTTGCAGCGGGCTGGTTCACAAATTGAGCGACGCGTGTGAACGTTTTGTGGATCGCACGGCGTGTCGCACATCGGTCACGCAATATCCGCAGACACGTTGACCGCCAACAGGGAATTTCGAGAATACCTATCGATTCTCCGGGGTGACGCGCACTAATCGCACCCGAGGAGGTGTCCGGTATGCGCTCGAGAATTCCATGGCTCGTAAATCCCGCTGCGAGCCCCGGCGTCTTGTACGGCGGTTCGCGCAAAATTCCGCGCAAGGGAAGAGCGAAAACCTCGTGGGAACACCTTCCCCTCTTTCTTCCGCGTGGAAACTCACCCCTCGACACGGAGAGACGCGATCGCTGACTGCGATGGAAACGATTGAGAACTTCCACTACGCCGCATCTCGCAACTTTGAGCTTGACTTTAGAGATTCACTTGGATCTTTGAGGCATGATCTTCATTGTAAGAGATATGCTCGGCAATTCTTGATAATTGCAAGAGGAAACGGAGAGCGAGATTCGGCTGGGATGGTCGCGGACGGGAAGCGTCTCCTTCGGGATTTCTGTCTCGACTTAACCAACGAGCCAACCAACCAACCAACCTCAAGCACCACAGCTCGCTCGCGTCTAATGTTTGTCTCTCTCTCGTGGGGAGTTGTATTCATGGCGCGTTTCGCTCGCAGGGCTAATTAGTATGTGCCGCTGTACCACGTATTAGGCGGCGGTCACAGTTGCATACGAAAGACACGCGCGAAGGGGAACTCGCGTCCACCGTCGCCACCTGTGAAAGAATATCTCCGTGGAATTCTGAGAATTCCCTCTTCCCCCCCCCCTCCCTCTCCTTCCCTCGTCCTGTCGATACATCGAGAGGAAAAGGGTTGATCTAACTAAAATTATAGTTACTCTTGGCTCCAGTCATATCTATCGGTTATTCTAACATAAAAACGGTATTAGTAACATGCACATGGTCATAAAAATGATCCCACAAAATTATGATTTTTAACTTTTCCTCTTTTTTCTTATTCAGTGGGTAATTTTTGTTAGTGTACCCGCGGTTATATAATCGTCGCGCGATGATATCATCGTTTCCGTTTTTACCTGCAGAGTCAGAGATATCGATCGCGGCACGTGAGAAGTAATTTTCTTATCGAGCGGCTTTATATCGGAGAAGACAGAAAGAAAGAGAGAGACAGAGAGCATCCTGCATTCAGACGTGAAAAAGAAAAAAAAAAAAAGAAGGAACAATCCGACTCGCCGACAATCGCGGAGAATTAATGGGCGCGCGATGAATCGGTGTTGCGCCGTGTGTTGTTCGCGCGGTTGTCATTTTCAGCGGTGTCCGTGTCTCGTCGTCCGGCCGTGAGTAGGTAATTGAAAATTCTTTTTGCGACCGAGCGACGTATCGCCCCGCGGTCGAGCATCCGGTTAATTTACTGTAAGCGGATACAGCCCGTTATCGCGATTCAATCATAACTCGTCCGGCGTGTGCATCTGTCTTCTCTCGCTCTCTCTCTCTCTCTCTCTCTCTCTCTCTCTCTCTCTCTCTCTCTCTC